ATGATTTGCAGCAGAAATCCAAGAACAATTTGCAGTCTCTTTGGAATCACATTTTTGTCTGTCTCTCTTTCGCTCCTTTTCCATCGATGTAATTAGCAATCTGCCATTCCATTAGCATTTTGTTGGTTTCTCTCTTTCTGTGCTTCCCATCTAAACCGTTCTTCATAGTGACTCACGAAAAGTAGATTAGATGTGGTACGCGGCCGCAAATAAGCAGCGCCCGGTGAATATCCAACTGACTAATTAGTCGTAATCGATTTAGTGACACAAGCAGTAAATATGAATTACAAGGAATTGGAATGTATCTTTTTCAGCAAAAGGAACAGCCCAACATGCAAATTACGAATTAGAGATAACAAAATCAAGCAAGTAACAAAATTAAATATATGGGAAGTGGCACAGCTATACATGGGATAGCGAAAAATGCCTTCAAAAAACTAAGCAAAATATTAAGAAACAGGAAAAAACTACTTAGAAAAGAGTACTATATTGTTACGCAATATCGGTCCTCCTATATGGCACTGAATAGATGAAGAAGAGACATAAAGCAAAAGAAATGTCGTTCTACAGAAGTGTGCAGATGTTTTGTAGGGCGTGGAATCACTTCTTGCGTGCTGTTTGTTTCAAAGTAGAAACATGTAACAAATAAGGATGTTTTAAGAAAAACAATGAAACAAAACAAACATTTGCGATTGCGAAAAATCGTAGAAGTTTCTTATGGCATATGATGAGGAGATAGCATCGATAATTTGAAACCACAACGACTGAGGAAAAGCAAAAGGTTTGCGCAAATGAGAGGCAAAAAAGGGTTTAGGAGAGACAGCAAAGTGGCAAAATTTACTGAGAGCTACAAAGGACAGGGGAGTTGTGAAGAGCCATGATCATCAGAGTCCTGAAGAAAGAAGAAAACAGCAAAAGTGAAAGTACCTAAGAGTCTATTCATATGTAATTATCACATTATGTTCATATCTATCTGTCTGTCTGTCTATCTATCTATCTCAGTCTTTTTATATCTATCTATCTATCTATCTATCTCAGTCTTTTTCTATCTATCTATCTCAGTATTTTTATATCTAACTATCTATCTATCTCAGACTTTTTTTATTTATATCTATATATCTCAGTCTTTTGATATCTATCTATCTCAGACTTTTTATTTCTATCTATCTATCTATCTATCTATCTATCTATCTATCTATCTCAGACTTTTTTATTTTATCTATCTATCTATCTATCTATCTATCTATCTATCTCAGTCTTTTTCTATCTATCTATCTATCTGAGACTTTTATTTATATCTATCTATCTATCTATCTATCTCAGTATTTTTATATCTATCTATCTATCTCAGACTTTTTTTATTTATATCTATATATCTCAGTCTTTTGATATCTATCTATCTCAGACTTTTTATTTCTATCTATCTATCTATCTATCTATCTATCTATCTATCTATCTATCTATCTCAGTCTTTTTTATCTATCTATCTATCTCAGACTTTTTTATTTCTATCTATCTATTATCTATCTATCTATATCATCATCTCTATCAAAAGTCTTCTTTTTCATCTATCTATCTATCTATCTCAGACTTTTTATTTATATCTATCTATCTATCTATCTATCTATCTATCTATCTATCTATTGGGACTCAAACTCAAAAAAAGACCTCAAGTGCCATTCGTACATGCTGGACAAAACTGTCGTTTTCCTCTATCACTTGTATTTTTTACCTGACTCACATGTTATCCTCTACAATCAATAGCAGCATCTACTGCAAGGAAATTTGAGTCACTGTGTCGTGCCAGAAGGTTTTTTCCGTCAGAGTCTATCGTGAACATTTACAAATCTTTCATTTGTCCGTGCATTGAATACTGTTACCATATCTGGTCAGGTGTTCCTACCATTCATCTAGAGATTCTTGACAAAATCCAAAGAAGTGTCTGCAATGTAATCAATCCTGACATAGTATATAGATTTCAGTCACTTTCCCACCAACTGTGACATGACATCCACCTTTTCTTCTATAAATATTTTCATGGCAATTGTTCTGATTAGCTTTCCTTTGAAAACCACGAATGAATTTAAGTAAGCATAAGTTCTATTCTAATAGTTTCTTTTCTTGCACTTCCCACCTGAGGAATTCTCCCAATTTCTTGCTTTCCTGCCACTTACAATCTTCAAAAATTTAAATGCAATGCCAATTGCCATCTTGTCTTCTTTTAGTGTCCTTTCTCCTTACTAAAGTCTTCTCATTCTCTTTCACTCCCAGCAACCCCTTGTGTATTAGTGGCATTATCACCTTCCTTTTAAATGATTAAAAATAAAGCTGATTAATAAGTAATCAATATGATGCCCATCATCATTACCCATACAAGAGTGTGGTAAGTTGGTGGTATTGTTGGATTGGGAGCTCAATAGTGAATTAGTTAGAATTGTAAAATGATTGACAAACATCATTAACAACATCTAAGAATGCAATTCACCAATATTTCTATTGATTGGCTGTCTCTGAAGTAGATAAATTTACTTACTTCGGAGACAGCCAATCAAGGTACCTTGAAGGACCGTCTTGGGCAGAGTATTGTGGTGTAAGCATTTTGTGAGATCCTGCAATTCACTTCCCAACAAGTCCATTAGATAATTGTAAATAATCATTTATACTGATTTGTTCTCTTTAAAGAGATTATTTATTACTTATTAATGATATATAAGGTTTTTAATGTGAGAGGGAGGTGCAGAAGCTTATTGGAATAGAAGTGAGCACTGAAAAGAGTAAAGTGCTGATCAACAACAGCACAACCAACATCAGGGCCCAGATCTTCATGAATGGAGAACAACTGGAAGAAGTGGACACCTTTAAATATGTTGGTGTTACTCTCACCAAAGATGGACGCTTTATAACAGAGATCAAGACCAGACTGGCTATGGCAACATCAACAATGACAAAACTCACTAAGATTTGGAAGAGCAAAAACATCAACTTTCCAACAAAGATTAAGCTCTACAAGTTCCTGGTGCTGTCCATACTAATCTATGGATATGAAAGCTGGACTCTGATAGCAGAAACCACCAAAAGAGTCCAAACATCTGAAACAAAATGCTTCAGACACCTTGGTATCTCCTGTAGAGAACATAACACAAACGACTCTGTACAGGGCCAAGTAACACAACTGACAGGCACCCAGGTGCCCCGCTTGGCAACAGTAAAGGGGAGAAAGCTGTTGTGGCTTGGGCATGTCATACACCACAATAATACTCTACCCAAGACGGCCCTTCAAGGTACCTTGGAAGCGGGTAGACGCAAGGGGATTGCAGTCCAATAGTCGGATGGACAAAATCAAAGAAAGGACCAGGATAGACACTCTGACGATTTTTCGTGAGGCAAAGAACAGATCGGGTTGGCGGCGGCTGGTGCATCATCGTCGCTCGTCTCCTCTACGATCGTCTTGATCGTGAGAAGAATAGACCTCCTAGAGATATTTAAAAAAAAATAAAATATCAACTTTTCACTAAGATATTAAAAAAAAAAAAAAGAAACACGCAGTTTTTTTGTGGTCTTATATGTAAAAGACCACAAAAAAAAACTGCGTGTTTCTTATATATATAAAAATTATATTTAAAAAAAAAAAAAAATAAAATAAAATAAATGTAGAGATTTTCTGTAAGTTTATATGTCTGATCACATCAGACAACTAAACTTACAGAAAATCTCTACATTTAGTTTTTTTTTTACAAGTTTATTATTAAAAATTTCATTCAATTTATTTTGTAACAAAACTTTGTTAAGTAAGTTACACACAGCCAGACTTCATTCAATCCTAAACCAAAATGTTATCGAGTCGACTAGCAGCAAACTAACATCAAATCAAATGTTGCTCAAAGAGTTGTATAAAAAAATCATAATTAAAAAAAAGAAAGTAGTTTTCTTTTAGTACAGCAAGTCAGTTTTTAACGCTAACGGGTCCAGAAATGATAGAAAAAGAATTTCCTTCTGTAATCTAATCATGAGAAAAATCTGTACAATATAGTTACTGTTTCGATCAATGACTTTTCTTCAAATAATAACCTTGTCTTATGACTAAGGACGTTACGCTTAAAATGAAAATTGTACGCATATTTTAATAATGAAAATATGAAGGGTTAATTTCCTTCAATTCCTAGAAAAAATATTATTTTTTTTGTTTTCACCCCATTTTTCTATCGGCAAAACCAGGGTCGATCGTTCAAATAATTTCGTATAAATTATTGATAATCGTAGCAGTAAGTTTCGCTTCAAAACCTACAGCACAACATAGCCAACTAGTCAATCATCTTACAAAAAAAAAAAAAAAAGTCTAAAAAGACATCGATGATTTTCAATCAAATAATGCGCAGTACGTTGTAAGTGTAACACAGAAAACAAAACAACATTATAGAATTTATAATAAACGAAGATTATTCATGAATTTAAATTGTTCAGATAAAAGTAGCAGTCAGTGATAGTGGTTTTACTTGTGAAAGATTGCTAATAGATTTTTAGCAATTTATTATTATTATTGAATATTGATCATTATTATTCATCTATTTCTTCAAATGAAAACGATTCCAATTACAAATGACGTAAGCAATTTCTAGTTTATTCTAGTTAGTTAAATTATAGGAAAATTTTAGAACTTTTTTCAGGGAAAAATACATTGATTTGGAAAATTATTGCAAAAAAAAAAAAAAAGAATCAAAGACTTACAACACAAAAAATAAATTAAAATCGGTTTTTAAAATTCATTTTTTACTAAAATTTGGTTCTTTGCTATAGTTCTCTTCTTCAACTTCTCAAGTAACATCAATACATGAATTTCATAGTGTCACTTTTCTAAACAATTTAAAATTTATTTCAGGCTATAAAAAATATTACAGAGAAAATAAGCAAGCTAATTTTTATTATCTGAAGTGAAGTGACAAACTTCAATTTTAGTTTCAGTATCTGAAGTGAAGTGACAAACTTCAATTTTAGTTTCAGTATCTGAAGTGAAGTGACAAACTTCAATTTTAGTTTCAGTATCTGAAGTGAAGTGACAAACTTCAATTTTAGTTTCAGTATCTGAAGTGAAGTGACAAACTTCAATTTTAGTTTCAGTATCTGAAGTGAAGTGACAAACTTCAATTTTAGTTTCAGTATCTGAAGTAAGTGACAAACTTCAATTTTAGTTTCAGTATCTGGAAGAAGTGACAAACTTCAATTTTAGTTTCAGTATCTGAAGTGAAGTGACAAACTTTCAATTTTAGTTTCAGTATCTGAAGTGAAGTGACAAACTTCAATTTTAGTTTCAGACAAACTTCAATTTTGTTTCAGTATCTGAAGTGACAAACTTCAATTTTAGTTTCAGTATCTGAAGTGAAGTGACAAACTTCAATTTTAGTTTCAGTATCTGAAGTGAAGTGACAAACTTCAATTTTTTTCAGTATCTGAAGTGAAGGAAATTTAGTTTCAGGAAATTTGTTTTTTGTTTAATCAATAAATTAATTTTTGCCTTTTTTAGTATTTTTTCATCAGCAAGACAGCATCTCAACAATTTATTTTATTTCTGCATTACGTGAAGAAGAAAAAAACGGGAAATAATTATTATTTACAAAATCATTTTTTTTGTTGTTGTTAATTTCTACAAGAAATATTGTAATTATCAATTTATTTAACAGAGATGAAATTAGCAAATATTTATCTCAGAAGTAATAGTTATTTAAAAAGTTTTAAACCCTAGACTGATGACTTGAATTTTGAAAAACGCAATATGCGCTCCATATTGAACAAAAAAAGCTGAATAACTGACATTCATTTTCAGTTGCACTTGCAAATCTTCCAATATCTAAAAATTCATGGCATATTAACGGATTATTATTTCTTTAAAAAGGCAATTCCACTGAGTCGATAGGAAAATTAATCACAGAACGAAAAAGAAAAAATAGCCTTTTTGTACTAAGCTCGAGTGTAAAACTGAATGGGGTGCGGTTAGTCCAGCTGAAAGCGGAGAAAAGTCTATTACGCACCGGTTTAACATTTAAGCATATATTTTCAAGCAAAAGTAAAACACACAACTCACTGGACATTAAAGTTACAAAGTATAATCATATTTTGAATTCATATACTTCTGAATTAGAAGCAAAAGTGAAATGTTGGTCACTTTAAAGTAAGTCAAAAAATGATTCACACACCACAACAAAGTTCATTTAAAAAATATATTGTTTTACTTTTAAATGTCAAGAAATTAAGCTAGTAGCATTACCTTTAGGGGATGATCTCTGTATAAGTAGAATAGGAACTTGTGGGTCTGAGAGAAACTTTCGTATAGTCTCCTGATTGGATTTTTCTGATAGAGCTCTTTTTAGGGCTTCAGGTACAGCAGCCGTAATGCAATCTTCCAACATAACAGGTACAATCCGACCAAGATAGGTACAAAAAGCATTCAAATCGGCTACGGCTTGTTGGTGTTGACCGCCACCACCACCGGTTGGGGTTTCATTATCAGTTTCGGCCATCCTTTCGCCTTCGTTTTCGCCAGCCGAACAAGGCAAAAACCTTTCACCCTGCTACCAACTCTCTGGTAGCCTTTTCTTCTCGCGTCTCAACACGGCGATCGTTCAGGAAACTATTGTACGCAGTCAGTAATAATATTTCACAATTTGTAAGTTTTTCAGTGGCCAGACATGGATAAAATTATTAAGATGTAGACAGTTTGTAAAAACTCTGCTATAGATCTCCAAACAGCAGGAGGTCAAAGAAGCTTCCACGAAGCAACTATGTTAATAGTACGACGTCATTTCCGTTCATATTTAACTCAATGCGCATGCGCAAATCACTAAATGCTACGGTCTTCTAGCGTCGCCAAAAAACTAAAGGAAAAATCTAGTATTCAATAACAGTCCTTATTTTTGATTAGTAACGACCGATATTTTCATTCGTTGTCTCTCTTTCTCGCTAACTAGATACTCTTTTTGTCTTTATATACTGTAATATAAAGTAGTTTTTTAACTTAACATGAAATATATTTTTATGCTTTCACTTTTTCTGATTCATAATGAAAATTGAAAATGAATACATTTTCTTTTTGTGGATACTAAATGCTAATTAGCATCATAGTAAAATTAAATTTCCAATGAAAGACTCTAATCACCATTTTGTCTTTACTTCTGAATTGTTTAGCTAGACATATTTTCATAGTTAATTTAAATTTATATCCCATAAATTTTACCCTATTCTATCATGTAAATTTGCTTCACTTGAGACCCAGATTTGCATATAAACTGTTTGAATGAACCATTTTCTGACTTCACTCTTAGTAATTTTCTTCTCACTATCACTGGAGTGTATATATATATATATATATATATATATATATATATATATATATTTATTTTACCCTTACAAAGAAATACCAGTCAATACATATTCACAGATTTGTTCACACTTATCTTTAGATAAAATTTAGATCATGGACATGTTAATTCTATTACTCTAATTCTCATTTTAGTCTTAATTGTTTATTGATGCAGTCACAGCTCTCACTTATATAACTGTCTTATTTTCATAAGTTTCTGAAAAGGTTTTTTCTCCTAATTTTATTGAGCTGGTTTTTACTTTGTTCAGTTCATTAAGGTTATCAGGTAATTTTTCCTATTTTACTAAAAGTATTCAAAACTCTAAACAAACCTGTGCCTGACTCAAAGCACTGAATGACCAGTTATTGCAAAATGATATTTGACTACTTGAATCATTTACAGTTTATTTAGTGATTTGAAAGAAAAAATAAATCAAACTTGTACTTTTCTGTTTGCTATCTTATTTTTTGACTATGTTTTGCTGCCATGATTACAATTGTTACTGAGAATCATTCACTTCTGGAATTTTCATGCCAATCAAATGGCTACAGAATTCCCTGAATTAGGTAAAATATGAAGTGAAAATCTGCACAAAATCTTACAGAAATTATAAGAGTTCTAAACTCTTACAAAATAAAATAATTTTAAACTCTTGCAAAATAAAAATAATATTAAATACTAGATCTAAGTAAAAAAAGTGTGAGATAAAACCAAAACATTTTACAGTTACAGATAAAAAAAACTTAAATATTAAAAAAACAAAAAACAATGACATTTTTTTAACATTAAATGCAACTGTGTTCTTTCACAGTGAGTGTGGAAGCAGATAATTCTAGAAACTACTTCCCATTATTAATGTATATGTTCTTGTTTTATAAAAAAATAAGGCTACTTGAGCTTGCTTAATGAGAGTTTATTAGTGAACTGACATTTTAAGATGTTCATCCAAGCCTAAATTAACCTATTGGGGGTGCATAAAAATTATTTTGGAAATTATTTATAGAATTTCATATAACAAAAATATCTTGACAGGTTTTTAGAAAAAAGTGTACTTTTTCACCCTGCAACCACAAATTATGTGAAAGCTACATGGCAAAGCTGCAAATCAAAATTCAAAGCAATGCCCGAGCCAAGAAAGTGTGATATGGTGGATAATTACTTTGCACAGTTTATATGGAATCAAAGATTTAAATTTTATCAATATTTACCATCAAATCTCAAATCCTGTTTAATATTGATTCTTGAATTTGTATTAAATTGAAAACACATTTATTGATGTTGTTTATCTTGATTTAAAATATAAAAATTTCCTAATATCCAGTTTAAATGCCAAAATGTAAACTTTTAATGTGCAGTAAGTAAATACATTGTAGTGCAGATAAATCCAAAATTTTTATATGGCAACAGTGCTGACACAGCATAGTGAGAGTTCTAGAGCACCATTAGAAAGTACCACACTTCAGTAGCTCTCTGGCTATTGATGCACAAAGTAATCAATATCTTCAAAATACAATCATTAAGCTTCTGTTGTGAAAAGTCTTCATGCCAGCCACAAAGAGAAGGAAATCATTGAATCCTTTAAATACCCTAAAACCATGGTCTATGACCATAAAAAGGCATATGGGGACAAGGAAAGTTTCATGCCAGAACACAAGACTCATAAGAAGCACTTTGATACCACCAGAACACCGGAGTTCATTGCCGAGATTGTCAAGGAGAACCCCAGCAAAAGCATGAGAAAAATCCCCAAGGAAAAGGAAACCAGCAGGTGAACAATTGGGTGTATTGTCAAGGAGGACTTGAATTATAAATCTTATGTGCTCAAGTGGCACCACTTGCTCACTTTACCACTGGTCACCCGACTTACAGCTCCATCTCGTCGCCAGACTGCAATCCACTTGACTGTTTTGTATGTGGGTGTCTTGGAAAAGGATATGAACAGTAAGCCCTCTAATACCAAGGAGGCTCCAAAGGCAGCCATCAGGGACACCATGGCCAACATGGACAGGGATGCCATTGCCAAGGCCTGCTCCAGCTTCCAGTCCCACCTAGAGAAAGAGGTGGCTGCCAATAGTGGCTACATCAATTGATTTTTTGCACCATAATATATGTACCTAACAGTATAAAATTTCATTGAAATATATTAATCTGTTATATAAAAACACTGTTTTTATTATCCATTAATTTTTTCCGGATTTATCCTTTGCCACACTGTATATGGTGCCTTGAGAAGGAATGCAAAAATATAATAGCACCAGTCCTTTTTTTTTTGTTTCCATAATTTAGCATTTGAAAGTCATCTGATACTAACTAAAGTCAAATTTTCAAAATCAAAGCAGCATTTATGCTTGCTCCTGCAGAGCACTCTTGATTTGGCCTTTGGCTGTTTCAGGAGTTTGAGTGTTTACATATTCTCAGCATTGGAAGCTTTCCTGGCTGCTGTTTGACCTGGGTTTTTATTTACATGGGACTTTCTTTTCCTTGCTGCAGCCTTGGCTCTTTTGATTGCAATCTGGTCCTCTGTTAATGGAGATTTTTTTTGTGAGTCATACTGCTGCCATATGCGATAGGCAACAATAAACCACAGAAGAACTTAAAATTGATTACTGCATTTAATTATTGCATCAATATCTAAGCTTAACTTTTAAAAGTTCAACAATAATTATTCTGCTGCCATTTTAATTGAAAGACAATTTGATGTATGTAGGTCCTTACTTTCTGTACAAACAATTACTTTTATTTCATGAGTGACGTTCGCTGAATTTCACAATTAATTTTGATTATTCCAAAATTTATTTACAAGTTATAAAAACTGTAATCATACAAAAAAAATTGTTGCATGAAATCACATAAAAAATCACTAAAAACAATCGCAGTAATGAAAACTTGGGAATCCAAAATTTCAGGATTGTGGCTCCAGATCCAGCTTGGAATGTTTTTAATTTGCTCATGGAGTCAGCCTGATTCCAAAACAGTATGATATGTTGGACTTTACTTCTAGCGACTGTGCCACTAGGAGTAAAGATGAAAAAGTGTGACACACTGACACTTGCATTAATTTATATAGAAGATGAGATTTTTAAAAGTTGTGTCCCTTTAATTGAAAAAGCGTGAGATTTTTGCATTTATTATGTAAATGAGATGAGAAATCCTCTTACATAACCCTTTAGTTTAATTGTAAGTACAATATATAAAATTCTAATTTAATGAGGAAGTAAATTTCAAAATCTTGAAATGTGTAAGAAAATGAATCAGTCGTTATTTTTAGTAAAATGTTTATATAAAATATTTTTAGATGTAAAATCAAAGCTTTTTTATGTAAATTAACTTTCAGAAAAATTATTTTGCATATAGAATTACTTTCACTACTGCTGAAGCTTTATATGTTTAAGATTTAGATGTTAAATTTGACTATAGAATAAACAATAGTTGTGATCAGTAATTGCAATAATTGTAAAAAAATTAATTCACTTCAAAATTTGCTGGTATTTGGCCTGATGACAAAAACTTGGTGAAAATGTCTAACGATAGAAACCAATACCCCCAAATAACCTGTTAGTACTATCTATCTTTTTTCCATCAAGCTGTATTTTCTAATTATTTGTTCATCTTACAGCATCAGCTTATTCAATAAGAATGTAGAATAACATTACTAGTGAGAAGTTTAATGTGATTTTATTACTAATCTCTAAATATATAATTTTTACACGACCGAGTGAACAACAAGCAAAATAAGGCCCTCCTAGGTTTCCATACATTTGTTATTTGTATCTCTTTTTTTCCACCTTCCTGTCAGTATACATGTATGTGTAAAATTTTGCTAATTTTAAAAAACATTTATGTTGATATTATTTTTTTCACTTTATTGAGCAATGAGGAAATTTTACTAGTCGTTTTCACGCCGGTGACCAAATCTATTTCATCCAAATTTACGGAAATGGCCGGTAGCAACGTCAGCGTAATGTTTCTAAATGCGTCTGCCATCAGTGTTTCATTCTGTACCTTCCATGTTGAACGTGTGTACTACTAATTAAATTACAGGATAAAAATGTCGCTAAATAAGAAAACTACATTATTTTAGTTCATCTTTGTACGCTACACATTAGTTGTTGTTGTTATTATTATTATTCAAATTATTTGTAAAAAAGAAATTTAAAACTAATTTAATTTATTTTTATTTTTTTATGTACGCAATTAAAAATCAATTCACTTTCACACAAACAAAAATTTCTGCTATTATTAACTATTGTAACTATTATTGAATTTTTACTATTATTACTACTTTTTGCTTTTTTACTCATATCTCTCGTTTTAAATTTATTTCGGTGGGGATAGTGTTTGAAATTATTATTTTATTCTTAAATTGTAAAACGTTAAAGAAAGCTTTAAAAAAGTGTCAGTCAGTTGTAGTATTCTGAAATTAAATGTAAAAGAAGTTTATAAAATTATTTAAGGGGAAAATGGGTAACTATAAATCTAGACCAACTATTTCATGCGCAGACGAACTTAAGAAAAAGATAAGTGAAAGTTATTCTCTTTTTCGTTCAAAAGCGTTCGAAGATTTGAGACCACGTGAGAATGAGTGGTCAGAACTTCAGTTAGCTTGTAGTCGAGGAGAACTTGCGCGTGTCAAAGAACTTTTGAGTGAAGAAAACCTTAATGAAAAAACAGATACAGGCCACACACTTCTTCATATTAGCTGTATCAGTGGTTCAGGAGGAGAAATGAAAGACTTAATTCAGTTTTTATTAAAGCAAGGTGTAAAAGCGATTTATTTAACCAAGAATCAATTCTCTGCATTACACTTGGCCACTTACAAAGGTGATATTGATACAGTGAATGCCCTCTGTGAAGCTAATGTGGATGTTAACATTACAGGCAACAGCGGTGTGACAGCTCTTCATATCACTTCTATGTGTGGACATGTTGAAATAGCTAAAATTTTATTGGAACATGGTGCAAGAATTAATGCTGGAGATGCTGTGAAATTCTCACCTCTGCACATTGCTTGCTTCTTTGGTCATGACAAAATGGTTGAATGTCTTATTGCAAATGGGGCTAACATTAATATTAGTGGAGGTGTTGGTGATCGACCTCTACATCTTGCCTGTGCAAAAGGATATATGAAAATATCCCAAATTCTCATCCAAGAGTACAAGGTTGATGTAAATGTTAAAGATGATGAAGAACATCGACCCATTCACTTTTGCTGCAAAACTGGTAATCTCCAAATTCTCACCTATTTGCTTGAACACAAGGCAGACACCCATGTAACAAATATTTATGGAGATACCCCTCTTCACCTGGCATGTTATAATTCAAAACTGGAAATTTGTAAATCTTTAGTGAGCAAAACTGGACCAGGAAGCCTTAACATTGAAAACATATTTAGTGAAACTCCTTTGCATGCAGCATGTACAACTGGACGTAGTATTGATGTTATAAAATTTCTTCTTGAACAGCCAAGTGTGGATATAAATTACCAGGGAAAAGATGGTCATACTCCTCTTCACAGTGCTTGTTACCATGGACACTTGAGAGTAGTTCACTTTCTTCTAGAAAGTGGAGCAGATGTAAACTTAGTTGCTTCTGTCAGTGATCAAAATGGTGGTAGTGAAAAAAAAGAGGAACAGACAGCTTTAATGTGGGCATATGAAAAAGGCCATGATTCAATTGTTACACTGCTAAAGCATCACAAGCGGCCTCAAGATGAATCTGCTTGTGGAGATTACTCACAACCTGGTGGTGATGGTAGCTATGTGTCAGTTCCATCACCAATTGGAAAACTCAGAAGTATGACACGAGAGAAAATAGATGTGCTCCAACTGAGAGCAACACTACCACATCATTTTCACTTGCAAATTACAGATCTTGAACTGCAAGAGACTATTGGCAGTGGCTCTTTTGGCAAAGTATTCAAAGGGAAATGTAAAAGTAAAGTGGTTGCGATAAAAAGGTATCGTGCAAGTTCTTTTGGTTCAAAATCAGATGTCGACATGTTCTGTCGTGAAGTATCTATCTTGGCACGTCTCAATAGCCCTTATGTGATCAACTTTGTTGGTGCATGCCTTGATGATCCTAGCCAGTTTGCTATTGTGACCAAATTTGTATCTGGTGGCTCTCTCTTTAGCCTTTTACATGAACAAAAGAGGCTTATAGATATGCATACAAAGTTAACAATAGCAGTTGATGTTGCAAAGGGTATGGAGTATCTTCACAATTTGCCCCAGCCTATTATCCATAGAGATTTGAATAGTCACAATATTTTGTTAGAAGAAGATTGTCATGCTGTAGTTGCTGATTTTGGAGAGTCACGCTTTTTAAGATCAACTGAAGAAGATAACATGACAAAACAACCAGGAAATCTTCGATGGATGGCCCCTGAAATCTTCACCCAATGCACTAAATACAGTATCCGAGCAGACATGTTTAGCTATTCTTTGTGCCTGTGGGAATTACTAGCTGGAGAAATGCCTTTTGCTCACCTTAAACCAGCAGCCACTGCTGCTGAAATGGCCTATCGTCACACAAGACCACCAATTGCAATTACTTTTCCAAAACCAATTGTTGAACTTCTGCAAAAAGGCTGGCATGCAAATCCAGATGAAAGGCCAGATTTTAAGGATATCGTTCCATGTCTGGAGGAATGCAGACAATCACAAGCCGTTATGCTTCTTAGTAATGGCAATAGCCTTCCTTCTGATTCTATGGTGGACTCACTGAACGACATTAGTGTAATTTCTGATGATTCTGAAACTGATGGACGATCCACTCCACCACTGACTGGTCATGTGACTGCAATGCGGACAAGATGGGAAATGGAAGCTTCTAGAAATAGCGGTGTCCCTGTGGATGAACTTCGGAGACGGTTTCCTATAACCCAAGTTGATAAAAATGGTTATGTTGCTGACCCATTATGTACTCTGCGAATGCCTATGCTTCTATCTGCTGATGATATGTTAACATCAGATACTGTATCACCTGAAAACTCTTCAATGGAAAGGTAAAAAAAATTAATTTATTCTTTGAGACAATAATTACAGAAATGCTGTTTAAGATTTTCAATAAAAACACTTTTACACTAAAATCAAGCTTTTTGATTTAAGAGAAAACAATGGAGGATAAAATAAAGAATTAAGTTTCAGTATTTTTAGAGTTCAACAGTAATCTTTCTGCATTCTTTGTAATTCTATGTTTTTCTGATTGACATGTACTAAAATGCTGGTATATTATGTGTTGTATGTATCTTAAGAGTTTATTTAGATATAAGCTTATGAACAGCAGTTTCAGTTTATGATTGTTTCTGTATAATGCTTTCTTATATGAATGTTTTCTGTATAATGCTTTCTTATATGAATGTTTTCTGTATAATGCTTTCTTATATGAATTTCTAACTGTACCCATTTTAGGTTGGTTATGAAATCTGTCAGCTTTTTCCAGATACATGGTTAACTTGTGTTAAAAGTTTGAAGATTATCATATGATGTTAGAACCTATTAATCTGAGATTTCAGTTTAGAATCAGCTATGATAGAATAACAAAAACTAATAGGTTGAATTAATACCAAATTTAATGCATATAATATTAATAAATTGAAAACTACTGTGTAATTATAATTTTTTTAATTATTTAATTTTTTTCTGTTTCTGTTTAGAATTATAATTGACTTCATATATTTTTTTCAAATTTGAAATGGTTTTAATAAAGACTGGAAATTTTTCTTTTTTTTAAAACTGTTGAACCACAAAAAAACACAAAAGAAACTTAGAGTATATTTGAATGCATAACCATTTCAAAATTCAAATGATTTTTCTACAGATGAGAAAAATATATGCACTTTGTAATTTTGATGTTTATAAATCATTTATGGATGTAATGAAACGCATTAAATTGATTTTGTATCAATATTTTCACACACTTTTTTTATATCATAATACAAAAAAATTGTGACATTTTGATTTATATACTTTCAAATTAAAAAAATGATCTTATTGTATTTCTAAAAGAATCAGCACCACTTTTAATAAATTTCTTATTTGTTTATTTTTTTTTTTTTCAGTGGTAACCATGGCATGGATGTTTTCTATTCTACTTGTGATATCAACAACATGTAGCTAACTGCTGCAAATGATATTTCTTGTTAAATAAATAGAAATTACTTGAATAGTGCACTCACACTGATTGTAGTACAGACTTTTGCTGCTACCTTTTATAAGCATGCCCAAGGAAATGATTTAAAAGGCACCAGAAAAACTATCTGTTAGAGTAAGTTGTTTTTTCATGCTTAGATTCCTCAAACTTTTTATATGACAATTTGTCATCTCTCATGTAACTTCATCTCAATTTTTCTAAAAATGTGTCTACTTTTAACTAAATGTCCATTATTTTTTCAATTTAGAAAATTCTGTATAAATGTAAATACTTGCCTGGATTACAATCCATTTTCAAAAATCATAGAATGTATTTTCAAGAGTAGATTTTTTGTACCACAAACAAATTTTCAATTATTTGCTCTTTGGATTGCTCACCATTGATGTTGGTTGGTCAACTTACATGTTGAACTAGCAGGCTTTGCCAAGTAAGATATATTCACTTCTCGAAATCTTTGAAACAAAAATTTTAAATGAACATTTCATTGGCTTGTTATAGTTAAGGAAAGTTTTGCAAATAGATGTCAACTTTTTGAAGGCCAAGTAAAAGGCAAATCTCAAACACTTTTCTGTACTATATAAGATGATATTCCTAAACAAAACTATTTCTGATATGAAAATCAAAATAATCCTCGAATAAAAGAACAGTAATGAAGGACAGTTAATTTATGAAATAAACTTTTTAAAAATCAATATGCAAATTAGTTAAACCTGAAGAGGGATATTGCCTAGAAGTAGATAATATATAATACAGATATTGAGCTTTTACCACATGATGCAGAGTTTATAATCCTCTCAGAGTGCACTCAGGGGCTTCTCTGTCAAAGGACAGAGGGGCAACTGAACCTTGTATACTGAACAGGTGCCCAGCCCTGGGGAACAGCTGCCCGAGGCTACGCCTCCCATTGCACAAGAGGAGGGATTGGTGCTCGGAAAATCAGGGCCAGCGCAACCGACAGTTGGTGGCTGAGGGGAACTTTGTCCCTGCCTCAGTGTTTGCTCGGGTCACCACATTAATCCGACCTTGTGTCACATCTCATTCTCGTGGGGAGAATAGTAAACACCCATAAATTACTTTTTTTGAGTATTTTCACATCTACTTATCATCTCTCAGATATATTTATTATCATTAAATTGTTATGGCATGGGGGCGCGTTTTGTAGGTTTTCCTTTGAAAGGATGCAGTATTATGGTGGATGGAAGATTGGTTGGTGACAGACGAATTCTTATGGTGAATGTGGATATTGTAATGTGTGAATGGGTCATGAATCAGATTAGCTAGGTATAAGATAGTTAGTGACAATCAGCCTCAACCCCTCTGCATTTTAGCCTTGTGCCACAATTGTATTTTATATACAATAAATATCCTACTTATCATCTTTCAGTTGTGTCTCTGTGCTCCGGCCCTGTTGCTGGTAGTATCACGGCTATGACTAACTTAGACCAGCTCTGACAAGCTATGACCAGCTAAGACCAGCTTAGACCAGTGGCCCAAGTGGAAACACTTGGGTTCCCCATGTTAAAACCGACCTTGTGTCACAATCTGACCTAGTGGAGGTTTGAGTAAATACAAATTACTCTTTTTGAGTAATTTCACATTTACTTATCACGTCTCTGTCTTTAGGACAGAGTTGCAACTGAGGAAAATTATACTGGGGAACAGCTGCCTGAGGCCATGCCTTCTCATTGCACTAGAGAGAAGGATCAGTGCATGAACCGAGGCCAATGCAACCAACGGTTGCAGGGGCTCGGGGGAATTTTGTTCCTTGCCTGGGGGCAAACGCTCAGGCTCCCCAGTTTAAACTGACCTTGTGTCACAACCTGACCTCATGGGGGGGGTTGAGTAAATACAAATTACTCTTTTTGAGTAATTTCACGTTTACTTATCATCTCTCAGTTGTGTGTCTGTCTTTGAGCAGAGTGCACTCAGGGGCTTCTCTGTCAAAGGACAGAAGGGCAACTGAGGAAAATAATACTGAGAAATGCCCTGCTCTGGGAAAAAGCTGCCCAAGGCCACGCACTCCCAATGCACCAGAGGGAGTGATCGGTGCTCGCACCGAGGCCAACACAACCAATGGTTGCTGGGGCTGAGGCGAATTTTTGTTCCTGTCCCAAGTGTACGTGTTTGGGTCCCCATCTAAAAATAAACCTTGTGTCACATCTCGTCCTAGTTAGGACAGAGTAAATACTGTGTGTAAATTCAAATGTTGAATGTATAACTAATTCTAATTTCTATTTTCCCATCTTTACACTATATTAATTTTATCTTATATTTATAAAATTGATATAGTGTCCTCTGTTCTGTCACCCATGAAATAAAAATAATTGTTTGTATAGAAAATAAGGATCTACGTACATTAAATCGTCTTTAAATTAAGGGGCAGTAGAAGAATTATTGTTGAACTTTTAAAAGGTAAGCTTAAATATTAATTCAGTACTTAAATGCAGCAATCAGTTTTGAGTTCTTCTGTAGTTTATTGATGCCTCTTGCATCTAGTCCTCCCTAGCTATTGTGATGATGGCCAAACCAAGAGTACCTCCACAGGAGCTAGCTTAAATGCCACCTGATAGGACAGCTTTAAGCTAGTTTAAAATTTTAGCTAGCTTAAATTTTAAGCTAGCTGCAATTTTGGATACAAAAGTGAAATAAGGGTTACTCCTCTTGAACCATGAAAGCAACGATAATGGCTAGTATAATATATTAATATATATTTTTAACCTCACATAATCTGGCAATCCTAAATCTGAGCTCAATGAAAATCGTTCCCTGTGCCTAAATTTTCTAGGACTTTTGAATGAGCTATGAATCATTGAAATTGAACCAGTGGGAGCGGAGGTGTTGCTTGAACACACACATGCAGAAACACACATACTCTGTACTTTATATATAAGACTAGCAGTAGAGCCTGGCGTTGCCCAGGGATGTAACAGTAAGAGATAGATCAAGTATCAACCATCATAAAGACTGAAAAATAAAATTGACTATTGATATATAAGATTATTGTTTAAGGTTGATGGACACGCATGTCTTAATTAGTTTTTTTTTTGTTTTTTGGGGTTTTTTTTTACGAATTGGTCAAACAAACAAAAACATTGTTTTCAATCGTTATGAGTCTATCGATTGAATAGAATTTTATTATAAACAATTATCTTGTAAATGGAATTTTTAAAGCATTCTGAATGTAAAAATAAAGAAAAAGTGTGCAAGACAATAAGAAACACTACCTACCAAAAAAAAGTGAAGTTTTGTTGAAATTGGTTGAAAAATGTAGGAAATCCAATCCCATTTATAAACGAACACACACACACACACACACACACAAACAACCTGGGTTTTATAATAAGTATAACTCGATATGAGTTGTCCCCCTTTCATTCTGGCAACAGAATTGTGTTTTATCGTGTTTTCAAATTGATTTTGTGTAAAAACAATTGTTTTTTTTCCAATTTTGGTGCTGTCAGAACCACCGAAAGGTAATTTTATTGGAAGTCCTGTGAAGTTTTGTTGAAATCAGTTGAAAAATGTAGGAAATCCGATCCAATATATAAACGTACAGACACACACACACACACACACACAATGTTCATTTTATAATAAGTAAGATAACAAATAGGATACTTTAAAATTAAACATAATTCGGAAATTCATTAACAGTATGTATATTATATCTTTCAGAAAAAATAAATTTGGAAGAAATTTGCCATTTTCTATTCCAAATTACTCTCTTCTATCCCTATACATGTTTTATTTTTTTCAAAATAATGCCTCAATTTTTTGAATACCTGTAGTGGAAAACTTTAATTAAGATATTACATTCTTAGTGAGAAAAGATTATGCATTATATTTCATAACAGTAGGTGGGTTTTGTTTTTAAGGGATTTAAACAAAAATTTGACAGAAATTTTGTTTGTATTACAATAACAAGTTTATAAAAGACAATGGCTACTGACGGGTGAAAATTTAAAAAAAAATTTACTTGCATTTAAAATATGTCCCCGAAACTCTAAGAACAGAATCGTAAAATATTGTTCATATTTTGTACTATACTAATGAAGGTGCAAGGGTGACATAATGGTTATTAGCATGGAGAATAAAATTAGCAAATTGTGTTTGAATTTCAGCTGCTTGTGCTGAATTAGCATCCTTGCACTTTTGTTGACAGAAGAAAGAGTGGCTAAATGATCACTTGAGTAAATCACTCACCCATAACTTTTTACACCTATTATCAACTTTGACAGAGGCCAATCTGTGATGTTTAATATCAGTACAAAATATAATTTTATCATTTCATTTATTTTATAATAATTTTGCTTGACAATATTTTGTAATTTAATTATGTAAAACCCCAAAACATACTCTAGTTAATATTTTTTTTTTTTTGCAATGTGTTTTTTATCATAACAGTTGCACAAGTTGTTTGTAATTTATTAAACTAAAAGCAAAAAAAACTAAGAATTTTTGTTTACCTTTATGAGCTCAATTTTGTTATATGATAATTTCATATATCATGTATTTTTCCTTGTTTTTCCCTATTATGCATGTTTACAGTTTTGTTTAATGTCTTTAATAATAACATAATAATGAAATTCTTTTGCATCTGATTTAAACAATTTGGAATTAATTTTTCATTTTATATCTCATTACAATGAAATTCCTAACAGTCATTTTTGTCAAGTTTTATGCAGAAATATAGTCACTCAAAGCATTTAGCCTAAGCTTGCCTATTTCTTTCCTGTAAAATTGTGTATTTTACTTTAGTTCAAATTGCATCTCAACTTGCATATTTCTAATAGTTACTTTACAATCCTTTTAGACCTTTAGCATATATATTATTTTTAAACAGTACAGTTTACACTTACTTAAGTTATACAATACTTTCCTAAGCTAAGAACTTGTTTTAATCAGATATATCTTACCATTAATATGGCTGTTCCTTGTAAGGAGTCTCTATAAAATTTATTTA